TGAGCAGACTTGGTGTCAGATAGATCATGGATTTGTGTTCTGCCTCTAGGCCAGGATAGTCCATGCTAAGCCATGACCCTGTTGCCAGAAGTCTGCTGATCACCTTCTCTCTGTTTGCCTTTGGCACTCATACAGGTATGAGCGAGAACAGGCACTGGTCCAAGAGGAGTTGCTCCGGCTGGCCAAAAGAGAAAGGGAAGCAGCCAGCGAGGCCTTGAATACTGCCCTTCAGCGGGAAAGGAACGACGCTAACGAAGAGAGGCAGAGAGTGGCCCAGATGGTGAGTAAGAAAAAACTCCAGTATGTTTCCATACAGGACAGGCTAAAATCTCTCTGCTCGAGGGGATTCATTAACTGTCACTTGTGTGATGAGCTTAGAAACTTTAATTTAGGTTGAAGCACTCATCACTTGCGTTTGGCTTACAATGTAGCTGGCAAGCTACACTTGCAGCATGTCATGCGGTGATGCTAAGGCCAAGCTTGTGGGAAAGGTGTAAGCAATGACAGTGCTGAGGACAGCTTTACCTGGGACAGGTCAGCATGGTGTATGTATATGGGGTTGTTGTCTGAGCTAGAGAGAACTCTCTTAAACTATCAAGTATATGAAATGAATGTTTCAATATACAGGATCAGATTCTGCTGACCTGATCTATCCTGAAACTCTGCTCTGTTTTTCTAGAGTATAACTGCAAATACCAAAATTAATAAAAAGAAACAATGAGTTCTGTTGTTTGAGTCTTTTAGGATGCTTGTGACAGAAGAACTGTTATAAAACTGTCAAGTATTGTAACATTTTGAAGAAGGCTTAAGATCGATGTTTAGGGACCAGGAAACATAAACCCCTTTTGTACACACCACTGATTCCCAAACCAATCTGTTCTTGCCCAGTAGGCAGACTTATTTTGGGGGACTTCTTGCTACAGCCTTTACTATTAGTCAGGCACCTTGGTGTTGCTCAGATAACTCGTTGGGCTGTTGTCATACCAGGGCTGAAAAGAGCAGTGATGAAGGCAGAAGTACAGTGAGATGAGATTGAGTAGAGCAGAAGGCTTATATCACTGCAGTAGACAGGGGTTGTCCTTGTGCTTAATATTCACATGGTACTGTTTTATATTGTTTTCTTTTAAATGCTGTCATTACTATGGCAATGGTGTACTGCCTGTAAACAATACAGAGTCTTACTGGAACTGCCACTTTTTCCTAACCTGCAGTGGTACGAGGTGTCGGGGTGTGACAGTGAGGTGGGACTATGCCTGCCACAGTGAGCTCAAATTGCTTGTTCTTTTAGGCTGTGATGTTGAAATGGTTTATTGAGACAACTAGACTAAGAGTAATTCTCATTGCCTGGTACGTACTGAGCGAATGGCTTAGGGAGACAACAGGCTTGGATGGTGACAGGCCTTTATTGTGTTTCTTCCATCCTATGGATCTGTTGCATGCCCGTGATTTAACTGAAGAACTGTTCTATGAGCATGTTTTTTCTACATGTTGAATGCTAATAGGCATGGCTTACCCAGGCACATGGTTTGGCTGTGAAGCATTCTGAGTTATAATATGAAGGTATTTTAGGGGGCTGAATAATAAAATTTTTATAAGAATGGCCGTAGTGGTTCAGACAGAAGGTCCTTCTAGCTATAGCCCATGTCTGATAGTGATCCACAGCATCTGCTCACAGAGAGCATGAGGTGTATGGCAGTGCTTCCCACCTGTACACCCTTGCAACTTCTGCCTTTCTGGGGCTTAGAGGCTTCTTTGATAAGAGGTATTTTCACCCTGGTGCTTAGCAGTCGTTGATGAAATTGTGTCCATGAATATGTCCGTTTGTGTTTTTGGACCCATTTGTGCATTTTGACTCCGTGGTAATGTTGGCACGTCGTTGGATTGGTAGGTCTCTGAGATTGCTCTCCTGGATATAGCTTGTGAATGGCTGCTGTGTCATAGGAAATTTCCTCTTGGCAGACTGTACCCAAGCCATGGGAAGTTGCATGATTGCTGAGCTTTAGAATAGTGATGTCTGAGGCAGGTGACTGCCATTCCTCTGCGTAGGACATATGGGTCAGCAGATGCAGCATTAACTCTCTTTCTTCTAGAAAAGAGAGTATTCTCTTTCAGAATGCCATTAATGGACTTCTGCAAGGAGGGTGGGAAAAAAGCTAGTGGACTTATTGTCCAATCTAAAGATGTGGTCCAGCTCAGAAGTAGAGCTCTGCCCTGCTGCAGTGAGGCGCAGAGGAATCCTGGAGAAACGTGACTAGCAGACTCAGCAATATGTGTGAAGTGTAATGAGGGCACCTCTAAAATGAGTTGGGACCTGACCTCTAACATACAAAAGCTCTTCTATTATCTGAATTAGCTTTTAATCCTATAGTGTCACATACCCAGGTATTGCATACTTGATGCTCTGCAGAAATCTGATCAGGCTCTCCTTGTGTAACCCATAAAAAATAAATAGTGGCCATGGAGTGTTAGCCCAGAACGTGGTGCAAGAAAGAGAAACTGTTAAATTTCATTGCTCTTTAACTATCTCTTGATCAGTCATAAATTTAAGATCCTTAAAAATGGAATAGTCTAGCCTGTTCTTGCAAAGATGAGGTCAAAGCTATTGTCTGTTGATTTCTAGGTGTCTTCCTAAGCAGGAACTGTTTTTGCCAGCCTTTTAAATTATTGGGATCCTTATCAGACTTGCTTTATCTCAGCTACAGTTTTCTTTTGGGCATAGTTACCTTATTGTATTGTCTCAATCCTACTCAAATCTATTTGTCCTTTGTCTTCCAGTATTGTTTTCTTCATTTATTTGGAATAGGGCTTGAATGTTTCTTGTTCGCTCTGGTGCTTTTTAGCCCTAGCATATGAGGCAAATTGTGGGTGTGAGCTGCTCTTTCATCTCTTCTGTGTCAGTTTTCTCTTTCAGGTAGAAGATAGTAGTGGAACTCTAGGTACCTAGTGGTAGTCCAAGTGCAGATGGCACTGGAAATTATCTGCTTAAATTTATAAGGGAACAATTTATAGGGTTGTGGCTGTTGTTGTAACCTACTAGGGAAGCCAGAGAAAAATGGGGCAACTCCCATGAAAGAAATAACAAATAAATAATTTGCTTCTAGCAGCACTTAATTTAGTAAAAATTGAAAATCATGCCACATATAATTAGGAAGGCTTGTTTTACTTATTTTTTTTTAACATTTGCAGTAAGATCTTGAGCTGCCCTTTGCCCTTAACATATCAATAGTTTGGGGATTAGTAGCCTTCTGTTGTACAGTTGTCTCCAGTAGTGCTGCAACATTCTCCTTTAACTTTACCACTTGTAGACCATAAATCCAAATAAGATAGATGTATTTTGAAATTATTTCATTTTGATTGTGCTGAACGTCACTCGTCATTTAATCTGTTCTTTATGATTTTCATTCACTGACTTTTATTATCGGTGCTGTTGCTGTGAAGCACTTACTCAGTCTTGTTCTATAATGCACAGTGCTGAAGGGAGAGTGGACTACAGCTAACCTTTGATAAGAAACTTGCTGTCAGCTTCTGGGGCCAGTCACTTCATCATTTATGCAGTAGGGTGCAGATTAAAACTTACTGATGTGGGTTTTTTTTTTTTTTTTTTTTTTTTTCTTGAAGCAGTGAACTGGTTGCAAGAGGGATTTAGAGTTAAGTTCTTGGGTCCTGTTTACATTTTCGTCTTGATCTTTCTTTTTTTTTTTTTTTTTACAACTTTGAACAAGGTACTTACTGAGAACCTAAGGTATCTAGAAGCTAAAACTCCTTAAAGTTTTAGTTGAAGAAGCAAAACAGCTCTGTAAGTAGAAACACTGCAGCATTCACTTCCCTCTTTGAGTGACTATAGCTTTTGATTAACCATGTGGGACTGGCTCAGATGGAAGTAGTCTGCTAAGCTGCTGCAGAAGAACTCTCACCAATTTGTATTGGAGATAAAATGTTTTGTTTGTTTGTACAGCACTGCGGGATCGTGGTGCTGACTGGACTCTCTGAATAATTTAATGCTGTGGGTACTTACAATACAACAAGGATTATATGTACAGTACTTCACAGCAGGGCCTAGGGTGTTTAACTAATGCTTGTAGCATGCCTTAAGTCTCATGTGAAATATCCAAGAATTAATACAGCTATCTTTAAATCCTTTTTTATTTCTAGCATGAGGAACTTCTAAACTTGTCATAGTCAAGTTATTTAATTGCTTTACTGTGTTGTGAATAGTCTCACCTTTCCCCTATAACAGCAATCTTTCCTTTTTTATTCCAGTTAATCAAAACCTCTTCTCTCAACTTCTCAGTTCTTTTGCCTTTCTTTTTTTCTCCTTCTTACCAGCAAAAGAAACTTTGCAAGCAAAGCTGCTCTTTTTTCTCCTTTTTGCTTTTATAATCTCCTAAGGCTGTGCAGCATGTGCAGCATATGCATCACGAGCCTCTTGGAGCCAGTGACTCCCTGCCTGATGGTTTTTGCTGAAACCTTTGAAACAAATCAATGTGGAACGGGGATGGAGAAAAGCAGAAGCAGAGGGGGGGCGGGAAATAAACGCGATTAAGCGAAGACATCTCATTACTACTCTAGAAAGGGAGGATTATAACTTATAAAATAGGAGGATCTCATTTAGGGGCCATGTGTGCCTGTGTTATCAGGACAGAGGGAGAGCAAGTAGAATAAATGAAATTAATACTTTGAAAAGAAGCATTACCCGGATTTGAGAATTGAACTAATATGATTTGTGCAAAGCCCTGAAGTTCTTATCTCCCCATTTAATACCCCTAGCATAATGGCTTTGTTGGAGTTATTGACCAAAAGTCTTCTTCCTTCCCACCTTGAAAGAATGAATTCAGAAATGGGGTGATGGTAGGACAAACTCTGCACCATAATTAGCTTTTTCAGACAAGACTGATGGGCACTGGTTGCTGCGTGAAAACAGACTGGACACAGAATTCCTAAATTGCTGGGAAAGTGTTTCTCTGGCTGTCAGTGATGGACTGCTTACCACTGCCAGTGTTTCTAGTTGTACCTTGCTCACTGGCTTGCTGGATAGGAACCTTTGCTTTCCGGTGACTAGCATTGTACTGTTGTGATTAGCGTGGCCCAGAATATGAGTGTGGGAGGAAATATGAGGATTTAAGGTTTGTCCCATCTCTGGTTGCTCCAACAGCAGATTATAATTGGTCATAGGCTTTGGATTCTTTTAAGATGATTTCTTGCCCAGAAATAATCTCTTTGCTCTTCAGAGCCTCTTATCTTCTCTTGTTGATTCAGGAGAGAAGGGCTGAAGGAAGAATG